GAGGAGAGGAGAGGAGAGGAGAGGAGAGGCATAGATAAACTGCCCCAGATTTAAACCACGGCATTACCAGTGTTAAAAGGAAAAGTACTGCATTTGAAACTAAATGAGGATAAATTAATCTGGAGGAATGAGAGACTGGTAGCTGGTATCATCCTACCAAGCACCATTACAGTGTAGATTTTTACACTGGGCTAAGTCTCCCAGGTTCCCTTAATATCAGAAGGAAAAAAGAAAGTTGGAGAATTCTGTATGTACAAGCACAGACAACCACATCTTGTCAAATAAATTTCATCCTAAAGGTACCTGTTTCTACCCACTGCCTTTAAAGGGATCCTGTGTTGCTTAAGTCAGAGAGGGATGTCTTCTGTTAATTGAGATGACTCCAGATCTGAGGATAGCGATAATGGCTCATGCTAGGTGACTTATCTGGGTAACTCCTCACAGAGCCAATGAAGTTTAATGCTTTAATGGATCCCAATCAGCTTTGTGATAATTCACCCTGAGATGAGAATGCAAAGGAGACATGATCAGGCCAGATGTAATCATGCAAATCCATACATCTGGCCTGTTATAAAACCTGCTCAGTCCTCGACATTTATCACAGTATTTCAGGGGCTCAGTGAGATATGAAGGAGATTCAGAAGAGACAGAGAAAAAGTGGCAGCTAGCCAGTGTGAAAATTAATAATTGTCTTTAGCACAAGAAATGGAAATTTAAAATGCAATTTATTTCCTTGAATGCTTATCACTTATGGAGAATTGATCTTGCTGAAGTGTTTTATTATCTTGTTTTTATTATTACTATTCTCACTATATATTGCAAATAATATTCCACTTACATCATTTTGACCTTTCTAAGAATACTGAGGCCTGGACTGTGTACCACTGACGCAATGTTTTGCTACAATTTTGGTGGGGTGAGATTCTCCCAGTACAGCCATAAGATAAATCCAATATTATCAGTAAACTTTCAGTTTCATATTCTTAGAAAGCCACAAAAAATAAACACTCTGATTCTGTACCTCTTTTGTCAGGTTATACACGAGTTTGTAGAGAAGAGGGGTGCAGTCAACTCTTAATGTGTAGTTACCTGAAAATGAAGCAAAGACATGGAACTATTCCCTTCACGTACCAGGGCCATTATCTTCTTAATGGATTAAACCCTTTAAAGTCCTTTTAAAGTCCTTTCTTATACAAACTTTCTGACCTCCAGGTCAAGAATTTAGAGCTTGCCTCAGAATATATACAGAAATAGACTACTTGCTGACATTGAATATGCTACTGCTACTTCACCACATTATAGTAAGCGCATGGTAATGTAATTAAACTTCTCATAGTTCTACAATATGCCTAACTAGCCCTCGTTAGTTACAAGCCCTCATCACACAGACACTCCCTTAAACTTGTGCTAAACAGAAGGCAATGGCAACATTCTGCTTTCTGTAGGATGTCAAAAATAATAATGCATTCAAGAGCTGTGCAGGAGGAAAGACGTATTCCCTGCAAGGTGTTTAAGAAGTCTTTCAATGCAGCTGCTTCTTATCATCAAAAGAGTACTTTTTCAGTGTTTTTGCAGACTGTATCTGAAAGCCAGGTCATCTCCTGAGTAAGAGACTTGCAAGACCATCCTGAGGGTCATGGTTAAGTGGTGTTGATAGGGCTAGGACAGAGGTTGGACTCGATGATCTTGAAAATCTGTTCAAATCAAAACTGTTGATGATTCCAAGACATGTGGCATTTTACGTCTCAGAACTACATCTCACTCAAATAGGAAGCAACAAAAATCCAGACTAAAGCTTTCATTTATTGCCTCCTAAACCTCCCCTTTTACTACCACACTGTGGCTTCTACACTTTCCATCCCTGAGGTTTCCACATTGCCCCCAGGGTGTGTTGAGCTGGGTAAGGATCTCATACCATCTGTTATGGCAGTGAGATCCCTATCAGAAAGAAACTATCACCACTTTTGAGGCAGGCAGGAGTGTAAAGAGGTTTTCTCTACAGACTACAGCCCCCGACAGCAGCTGGGCAAACGCCTCTGCCCTCAAGTACACAACAAGAGCAAAGAGGGGATGAAGGATGAGAAGACTGGGACGTAATACAACATAAACTCCCAGATAACACAATTATCAGGGTTTGCTATGGCTTTAGACCTTTGGGTCATCCTTTGCACAGTGTGTTCTCACAAGAGGATTAGACTGACAATTACAGAAAACCCCATGATGATGAGAAAATTACTAGATAATGGTGCTTCCATGGAGAGTCTGTATTTGAGAACTTGAAATTAAAGCACAAAAATGCTCAAAAGGGTGATCCATTATTCTTCTTTTCATTGCTAAAGGACAATGAATGGAAATAATTTGCTGCCCCAAATGTGGCAGAAGTACTGTGGAGAATATATGATGATAAACAAAATAATTGGCAGAGTACATAGACACTATGGCTCTACGGGGGATTTGAATGCTCAGTCAGGTGAAAGATGTCTGAGATACTTCAAACAGTACACTGAATATGGTGTTCTTTTTCTTATTATATATTTCTTTTCTAGTGGTTTTACTTGCACATCTTCTTTAATGCATAAAGCAAGTGACATGTTTGAATAATCAAGATTTAGAAGAAAATCGTTAAGGCAGCAGCATGTTGGCCACACACCAACTAAAAAATATGCGTTACAGGCCATGCTGAGAATGTGAAGCAGTTGTAAAGCTATTATTTCATTTGTGAGATCTTCTAGGCGTGAAATCCTGCTCTACTTTTTACACAGCATGTAGGCTGCATAATTGAAGGAGCAGCTCTAACCCTCCTTATATCCCAGCTCCAACTGCGCATTTAGAAACTGAGTTTGGCTTTTCTTTCTTTCCAATCCTTTTGTGACAGACAAAATTTTCAGCTGACAGGAATAAAAAGAGTTCTTAAATATGCCTGTTGATATCCATTTTATTCACACACAGTAAGCCCAAATGAGCTGGGTTTAACATGGGAAGAGCAGTACTCTAAACCAAGGTTATGATGCAGGGCAGCTTCACGGGACTGAACTGACTATTATTTCAGCACAGACAACAGTAAATGAAGTCTTTCTGCCATAAAGCTCAGTATAATTTAAGAAGGATTTTGTGATTTGGGCCATAGTGTTGGGCCCCAAATTCAAAGTTCAGTTTCTAAGCAGCATTCCTGTATGACAGATTCTTCTCATAACCTGAAGGGCATAATAAATTGGATAATGGTGTATCAGGCTCTTTTGTGAAATGCTCTTCAGTATTTATTTTTCTGGAAGCGCCCTGCCACAATACACACGTACCTGCTTGTAGCAATGAAATAAAGGAGACCAGACTGGCCCAAAGCAGCAAAATGGGTCCCACCCTCATAAAAGTTAGGCCTGAGGTCTCAGCAGAAATTGTTTTAAGACCGTAATAAACTGTTGCCCCAAAATACCATAATTCCAAAGAGAAAGGAGATGGACCTGCAGGCACACAAGAAGCAGTCTGTCATAAAGTCAAAGTGTAACTGGAAATTAAAGCTAATGCAGTTAGGAAAGAGTTTAACATTCAGTCTTGCTCAGTTCATTAGCATGAAATATTGAACTCCTCCGGAGGAGACACCCTGAAGTCTGGACACGTGGACTGCAGCTCAGGGATGGCGCTATTTGCAACAAGAAAGCTGCATGAGAATTTAAATTGTTCTCTCCCTCCACTTTATTCTGTATTTGTTACACTTATTCAGAACATCATGTTATCTATCTTATGTTCACCAGCCCTGGACGCAATAAATAATTCATAGTGAACTATTAAAATTGACATTGGTGAAGCAAAGTGAGTTTTAAAATAAAAGACACACCTTCTATAGAAGAATCTGTGTTGATGTAAGCAACTGCCCGTGCCTGGAGGACTCTGGCATTTTCCTGCGGTTGTAAAAGTATAATTAGTACTTCCAGTTAGTGACATTTAGTCAAGAGTGTACTAAGTGCATTGTTTTTTTACAGTATTATCTTTAAGAACCTAGTCAGGATAAGCACAATGTACCTTACTAATTATATTTATGCTTGAGGATGGTTCAGTGATCTGGGCATATGAAATTCACTCTTACTTTCTGGAATTTAATTTGTTGTGGAAAACATCTACAAAATGCAGGTGCTGCCTGCTGTGTCACATAGGGGCAAGACGGAGCAGGAGAATTACTGACAGCATTATATCAGGGTAAATTAAGATTACATGTTAATTGTGCATTTGCAGTACTTTTTGAACGTGTGACTGAGGTCAGCCAGAATTCCCCCCCACTTTCAATCTCCAGTTATTCACGTGAGCTCCCAGCACAGAACTCAATTTTAACACTGACAAACTAAGTACTGCTGTCATTTTTGCGCTCTTCCATCTCCAAAAGGGAAAAATCAAAGCACTGACATTTCTTATTAAAATGAATTTGACTGACTGTCTTGAGTCAACCAAGCATTGCTTCAATGCTAAATTTATACACACACTTGTTTAATTTTCTGTGAACTGGTAATTATGTTTGAAACTGATATTCTAATTTTACTAAGTCTTCACTTTGTGATAGATATTCTAATTAGGTTAGTAATTGTTACTTGATTCATTCAACTGATAACCCAGCTAATCACTTTTAAGTGAGGTGAACTAAAAATTGAATTGGTAATTGATAACTTCATAACAAAATTGATACCTTTAAAACAAACACTAGAGGAAATTCTGGAAAAGAACATGAAGGAAGGGAGAACACTTGTATATACACACATGAGGGCTTGCATATATGCAAAAGCATATTTGATATGTAAAGAAATTCCTTTGTTTCTGAACAACAGAGATTGTCTATGTAATGAAAGGATGTTGCCACAGTTGCCGAGTTTTTCTGTTATCCAGAAAATGGTGAATACCATGGGTTAATTTTCCTTAAGATTTAGTACATGACAGATCTGGCGGCTGCAGAAAACTTGAATGTAAACTGTGAGGAATCTCTAGAGAAATTGAATCTAATTTAGGTGTAAAGGAGTAGGAATGCATGCCACCAAGATAAAGCAAGAAAACAATAATATAAAAACATAGAGGTTCAAATATGAATTGTGCTCCTTGCGTTCTAATCTAGTACAGCTGCTGTTTCATGAAATAATGGATGATAGATTACTAGATATGAAATTATTAAACAAAGAACATTATAGAACAGCAGTAGTAATATGTGAACAAATCAAGCATACAAAGAACTAATTTATTCATGATTTGCTCAAGAGAAATTTATCTTCTAGGTATTACTGTTCCATATTCCTCATAGTTAAAACAATAGTGTGCACAGATATACACACAAAGAAATCACAAAGTTTTGCGTACAGTACACTTTTGTTACCAGTGGAGTTCAGGTAGGGTGAAACTTTAATGCTTACTCTTAAAGATCTCCCATTAAATGATTTTTAAGATCATTGAAATTACGATTTTTCATCTAATATCCCATAAACCAACAGTAAGAGGGATAGACTCCTTTACAGCTGAAAGCCAAATAGTTTATGGGAGGAAAAATTAATGAAAATCCAAAAGAAGAGAAATCTCAGCTTTGTGAACACAAGAATAAAGGAATCCCTTTGGTGTCTGGGAATTTATTTCTGGTTTTGTTCCCTCCTCTGACATGTGGCACTTTTCTATTTAATCTTGTGGTTAACTGAAATATATGCCAATAAACTAAATCAGAAAGATTAAAATATTTTATGAATTTTGAAAGCTTTATCTACATACCCCAAAATAATCTTGTAAATAAAATTCTAACAGAAGAATAAGACCACATTTTTCTGTTAAACCATTCAGTACTAATAAATTGACATAGTTCAGCAGAAATGTGTTTCATCAAGCAATTTTCTGCCTGCTCTATTTCTAATTTGGATTTTACAAAGGAATGAAAACTGTTGTAAGACCTAGATTTCTTACCAGGGCTGAACAAATCCACTTACAGTGTTAAGAACTGAACATGCCCAACAGAGCAAGGAAGAGAGAACCCTTCAGAATGTCACTGATAAAATTCCCAATGTCCTTCTGTCAGGCAGGAATGTAGTCAGGGATCCCACCACAGAATTCATCCATCATCCTGCCCCTGAGAATCTAGAATACTGGGATTTTCACAGCAATTTGAAACTATTCACTCAACTACCCTTTCATTTGCCCAGGATTATGTTCCACACAAAGGGCTCGATGTTCTTGTGGATCACAGGTCCATGGTCTGGACTTTCATTATAGAAACTAAAGAATTTCTCTCCTAGAAAGCTGGGAAAGAAACCAATCTAGGTTATACAAAATGTTACCTTTCTGTTAAACAAAGGGATAGATTTCCACATAGAGATGATTAAGGGACATGAGCTTTAACCAAGTAGATTTTTGGTATCTTAGAAGAGTTAGTGCACTTACGTTGCGAGAACATCATTTGTATAAATAAATGAGGTAATTTTTATAAATATATGAGGAACTCACAGCACCTGAAGGAGTCTGTCGGGCTCCAGTTTTACCTTGAAGCTATTGACTGCAGTCTAGGAATAGATGCCACTGGGCACTGAAGCTGCCTGCAACAAAGTTTACAGTTTTGCTTTCTTTGCACTATTTTTTATTTACCTCAGCCCATTCTGTGGAACCCAGTAATCCAAATTCTTCTGCATCCCAGCTAGCAAAAATAATAGTTCGCTTAGGTCTCCAACCTAAAATCACATAGTTAAACTTGAAAATTCAGTGTAAAGTTAGAAATTCTAGTGAATGATCCCTACAGTTAGTTGGAATCACTTTTTAAAAATAGCAGTTAATTGATATATTAGTAAAAAACGCCCTGTAAACTCCTTAGAGGAACATGTTATTGCAGAGACATTTCTTCTCAATGTAGTATTTTCATTCTACACAACTAAGAGAGTACTATCACACTGATAGACATGAGGGAATTCAGCCAACTAAGATGCAGTGTTACATACGCATCTCCTCAAAGAATTTGCATCTTTCATAATGGGAAATACGACTTTCTGTAGAGGTGAAAAGTTAAATTTAACACAGTTCACCAAAGCTTCTGTTTTCTATATTCACCATTTTATGTCTGTAATAAGTAAGTTACCTTCCATCTTCATTTTACCAAAACTCCGTACAACCTCTTGCAGAACAGCTGCACCTGTAGTTGGATCGATACCGCCAAACACCCAAGAGTCTCTGTGACCTCCTAAAATAATATATCTGTCTGGAAACAAATATGTAATATCAATCCTTAATTATAAATGCATTTAGGTTGCCTTTATTTTCTTTGATTGCATCTTGTGTCAAATGAAATACGACAAGTGCCACAAATTTATTTCTTAAGGTAATGTGCAAATATTCACTCACTCTAAAGAAGTATATAAATGAAAACAAGAAATATTTTAGACTTTTTTTTTCATTTTAAAGTCTTTTATTGTATGATCTAATTAAATATCAACAATACTATCTTGAGGCCCCAAATCATCACTAGTTTTCTGAACTTTGCATTGTGTTAATTTTTGCAAAAGCAAAATGTATGAACTATATAAGGGGAAACCTACTGTAAAATGACAAGCATTATAAAAAAATTCTCTGTCGTCTATCATTCTAGCATTCCCATTCAAATATATTCAGGGGAATGACAATGAAAAAAAGTGTGATAGGAGGGACAGGGCAACTATTAACTGTTTCTCAGATTGCATATTATCTGGCTACCTAAAAAACTTGAAGTTTCTTCCAACATAAGAACAATTTCACCAAACACAAAACAAAGAAGGAATTTAAATCATCCAGCACCTGATTCTCACCTGGTTCCACAGCTCCTCTGAGGATGCCAATGACATTGTAAATTCGTGTTATTTTATTGTTTGTATGAACATGCATTCTCACTTTTCTGAAATGAAGAACAGCATGGAGTAACCATTTCTGACTGAGAGGGCAAGAAAAGGTCAATGTTGATAACCGATAAGCCAGAAAGTTTGTGCTTCTGTTCTGCTTTGTGTGTTCAGCACTGACCTAAGCTGTCATGCTGTATCAGTGTGCCATTCCTTACTTCAGGTTAACCTGCTGACATAAAGACACCTTAGAAATAACCTTATGAAGAGGGCCAATCTATGAACTTTCAAACATTCGCAGAATTTGTCGTATTTTTTATTTATGGAAATCAATCAGATAACTGTGTATAAGAGGAGCAAACTGAAAAGTATATACAGCAGCTAAAAATACATTTACATTTTGACCAAAATTATAATTGTGGTTATACATATTTTTATAAAATATACACTTTGGTTTTCTAGCACAATTCCATGTAATAAGATCTCTTGGAGAGAACATCATTAGAAATATTCATCCAGTAATAAATTAAAATCTGTTCAGGACAGCAGATCTAAGTGATCAAAATTTGTCAATCCTCCATCTTTTCCTCTCCCCTCAACAAAACCCGCTCGCAAACTTCTATAAGTAAATTCAGGTATTAGGAAAGCTTAAAATAACGCAGTATTCAGCCCCTGTTAACCTGCAGAAGAAACAAAGCATCAACCAATTCTTTTTTTTTGCATCTGGCAAAACCCCAAGAATTTCATATTTGAAGTTCTCTTTTCAGCAGCAAATCTGCGTAGCTGTCAAAACTGAAACCCACTCCAGGACAGCTACTGGATCTTTGCCCAGAGAACAACTGACAGCAGTGCCTTGAACAAGCCTATACGTGCACACTTGCCATGTATAAGTGACTTTCTACCTGGAAGCAAAAGATTCATTTTGATATGGAGTCACTCTGAGAAAGAAGTATATGTAGGATTAGTCCACATTTACAAAAACTGTTACTCTATCAAGTAAGAAGATGTTAAAAAAGTGCATTCGGAACTAATTTTCCATGTATATGTTTTGTGGATAAATCACATTGTTTCTTTTCTCACGGTTGTTCTTCAAGACATTCCAAACAGCAGCTTAATCACGTCAAATAAGTTTTCTTATTTATTCCTACTTTATACTTTTTTAACTAGGGTTAAAGTAGAACAGAAAAGAATAAGGATCAATGAAGTCTTTATAAAACTATATATTCAGGCATACTTTTTTTTTGCAGAAGTCAGTGCAGTGATAATGATACACCTTTTTTACACACCGGTCCTTGTGGGCCAATACCAGTCCTCACAGAATAATACCTCATGTAAACTAAGAGTGGTTTCATGTAGAAAAGTGACAAAAAAGTGATCCTTTAGCTTTATCTGCTGCACCCTATCAGTTATAAATGAAGAATGCTACGATGGTCCCTCGCTGCCAGTCACATTCCTGTCCACCAAATGCAATTTTTCCACGGCTCAGTTTGCTAGAGAGCAACTCCCTTAGTGCTGAAGACCTGAACAGTTGTGTTTTGCTGCTAGAGCTGAAAAACATAAACTGCAAACACACCATTTTGCTGATCCAGCTGGTCAAAGGCCAGTTCCTCCCAAACAAATGAGGAAGACATACGTGCTTTGGGCTTTTCCGTCCTGTTACCATTCAGGGTTTTCAACCACGGGGCCTGCCAGCTTTGAGGAACATTTGATGGACCCCAAATCCCCCAAATCCTGGTCACGCTTCACAGGAACCCTGGGTGACTTCCAATGAACATGGTAAACATACGTAGAAGAGAGCTATTGGATTGTCAGTCCTTGTCCATTGGACTGGTATGAGTTAGCTGTCTTATTGTCCCCTTGCTCACCAGAAACCGAAAAAAAAGACCAAAATAGAAGTAAGGAGGAAGTTTAAAGTTAATTCAGAAGTATTAAAAAAAAAACAAAACCAAAATCCTATAAAAAAGGTCTACTTACTGCTATATAGCTATTTTGAAAAGGAGCAGTGAAACAATGTCTGAACTCTGGAGGATTAAAGTTGGAATGACAGGGCTGGACCTATATCCTCTGAATCTGTCTGTCCATTGACACTGGGGACACTCAGCAAAACAGTAGGACTTTTTTTCAAATTCTAATAATTACCATCTAGTGTTGCCCACTAAGAAGGCGTAACCCCAGAATATCTCTAGATGTATTGTTTAAGAGTCTTTTTCTTGTTGAGAGGTTTTTAGCAATATTTTATAAATAGGCAAGTGTTAAAACCAACCTTGTAGAAGAGTTGTCTGCAAATCCTGGCCCTATGTTATAAGACACATTAAGACTTCCCTTCCAGCTGCTGTCTGGAGCTGCAGGTCCTCCCATTGCACTGTTAAGTGAAAATCAACACAAATGTAGTCAACCAGTAGGCTAAAACTTTATATTCTCTTAACGGTTACTGCACCTAAACAATGTGGGTTTACAAAATTCTTAAAAACATACCAGAAACAGATTGCTTTGAATTTTACGCACTTTCTGAAGCACACGTTACTACTGAAGTATAACAAAATTTTGCAGCACATTTGTGAATATCGACTTCTGGTGAGGAGAACTGATGTGTACTCACCGTAACAACACTTCTGCATCATGATATCCAATGGGATGAACTGGGATTTTGGGAATCCCCACACCTTCATTGACTTGATACCTGAAAGCGTACTCTGAGAAAAGAGAACAAAATGTCAAGTTTATAGTGTTCTTAGAAACTTTCACCAAACTGGAAACACTTTTGAACAGTGCAGCCACACAGTAGCCACAAGTGTGCATCAATTTTTTACTTCTTACATAATTTCTTAGATACTGCTTCTTGGAAATGAAACAATGACAGAACCAGAAACTCAGTTGTGCATCTGCACAAGTAAGAGAAGTCCCCACATTTGATGCCAGGTCACATGTGCTGTCCAGCCCTATTATTACATCTACTCAAAGCCGACTGTGGGATAACCAAGCTGGTGTGAAGATGGCCCCTGCCCAGCCTGTTGGCAAGCTGCAGAAGATATCCACACGTGCATTCACTCACGTTGAAGACAGCCAATGACTCTGGGCCAGGCACGCACAATCTATTGTGGGTTTTTTCAGAAGATTGTTGTCTTATGCCCCTAACAATGGTCACACAAGGCAGTGAACTTTCCAGAAGCGCCCTTGTATTTCCATCCCATCAGCAGACAGGCCTGGCAGGCATCTTAGTTCAGAATAACTACAAGGACAAGACAAGAACATGGTGCCAAGTTTTGAAAGACTCCAGGCTGCTGTTATTTGTGCTACAGAAATGTTACTTCCTGTAATGGGAATTTTAAGATGATTTTCTGCTTGGAATTTAGGAAAACATACCTTCAACAAAGCTATTTCTCCTCTTCGATGATAGACTATAGTTTAAAATGGTCCTCGTGAGAAACACAGATACTTAAAAGTGGCTATAAATTCTCAGCCATTTTCTGCTGTAAACATACACATCCTGCTTTTCTGAGAGTTACAAGACTGGGATCATACAAAGTGATTTTCCTAAAAACTTACTTACCCTGCTTAACTCAAAAGCAACTAGTTGAAATAACATACAAGTAGACCTTAGTCTGCAATAGGAAAACTATTTCATTTCAAGCATATTTTTTCTTTACATCTGTACTGAAAATAAATTAATTTCTAGTGCCACAGCCACTTTCAGCACCAGTTTATAAAGTAGTTGATGGCCCATGGTGAAGACTTTTCACTCACTTTTTGCAGGATAACCTGGTGTCAAGGGGTCCCCAGCTCCGTTCAGGTTTAACACATTCCCACGCTGAGCTCCTCCACCTGGAAGGTTCCAGCCATTTGGATAGGGATCTACTCCTGGGGCACAGTAGTCAGCAGGGTCTGAATAAAGTATGATTCCTTGGGCTCCTGCTAATATGGCATTTTTTACCTGTGAAATTATTCGCTTTTAAGAAAAGTTGTGGGTTTTTTTAATAATTGAAGTAGTAAATATGAATGTTGCAATTGACTTTCATGGCCATATAGTTTTAGAAGCTGCATATGTGGAAGAGTGAAAATGACCACAGACAGCAGAAAAACAAACCACACTGAAATGCAGTATATTCATTACTTGTGCCACACCTTTAGTCATAGCTCAAGGCCATGAAATAAAGCAGAGGACATAAAACCGAGGTACAAAAGCTGGCCACTGTCCTCAGTGTCCCACTACCACCCATTTTGTCAGCGTTGTTGTGTAGAGTCAGAAAAGTTATTCAGCCTCTGAGCATCAAACTCTGTCAAATACTTATTTTTTAAAAACACTGCAGTTCTATGGGTGAAAGTACTGAAAGCCTTGGCTCTACAAACTGCTCGGTTCCCTAAACCAGTCTCTTACAAGAATCGCCCAAGGAGCCTGCAGTCATGTCAGTCTCAGGAGATTAATACATCCATCCAGTTTTATTGTTGTGGAAGTTATCCTTAGAATGCAGTCACTGTGGGTGCATTGCAGGCTTCCTTCTGCTCACAGGTTCCAACTTACGACCCTCACTAATTCCCGTCAGCTCTACCATAAGCACTGTTTGACCCACAGAATAAAAAATAAAACACAACCCTTACTTTATTTCCCCTGAAGATCTTCCCATATCTGGCAATGACAATCCTCCCCGTACAGTTAATTCCCATTTCACGCTCCAGCTTAAAAAAATCTTCAGTACGGCCATAATTCACATATACCAGCTCTCCCTTCACAGGAAAGAAAAGCAGGTTCATGGCAACCGATCACTCAGCAAACAAAATACCAGTTTTCAGAAATTTCGCGGCTTTATTTAGCGTATGATGTAGTTATTTTTTTTTTGCATTTCTACAAATGAGATCCAGTGCCCATAAAAACAATAGCAAAAGATATCCATAATGTTTTCTAGGAAGCCTCGGCTCAAACTGCTGACCTTTTCGTATTATCTTGCCCTGAACAGCCACCCTATAAACTGAGGTTGGAAACTTCTGTGGCAATGAAAACATAGTGGTATTCCTTAAGTGCACACACATTCACTATTATATAATTTCATTCATTTATGCAATGTAATGTTGTCCCTGACTTGCTCCTCCATGATGAATTACCAGATTAAGTGAGAGACTTTTGTAGCCTTTGAAGACATTCGCTTAATTCAAATGTCTTCCAAATTGAATTATATATTGCTGGTTCTACTCAAGACTTAAGCAAGTCCTCTTCATATGATTGAGCAAAGTGAAGTAATCTGAGATGTATCCAACACTGTCCATAAAGACAACAGCTTTTCACTTATTATGTGATTAAGGGCTCTAGCAATTTCAGAAAGCTTTTTGGTACTAGGAGACTTCTAACCTTTGCACAGTATGTGGCCTTGCTGTCCTTAGGTGTTCTCTTATACTAATGGTTAATTAAAATTACTAAAGCAAATATATTGAGAAGTTGGAGCAAGATATCCCAGCAAGTGTTTCGCAAAACATGACTTCAGCTAATAATATTCTTACACAATTTTTTTCTTACCTCTGGCACTCCTTGCGCCGAAAAAGCATTATATGGTGGAAGTATATCAGTAACATTTTCATATCCCTGTGGAGGGGGTTCAAACAATGATGTATTGAAAATCTGTAAGTAAACAACAAAGTCTTTGGTCAGATACTTTACCTCCAGGCACACGTTTGTACACTAAACTTGGTTATTGCAAATGATATGCTAGTTTCCATAAATAGTTAGCAAAACAATACTATTTTAACTAGCACATATAAGTTCAAACAAAACAAAAAAAAAAAGGCAGCTAGGGATATATAACTGAATTTTTATAACAGAATGTAGATAGATCACTTGCCAGAAGATGATCTGTACTGCCCAAATCTAAGCAAAGAATTAGCTAAAAATTGCCATGAAGAGGTGACGATGAAAAGAGACCAAGTTCATCCACGTGATCACAGGTATTTTTGCAATTACTCCTACCCGTATTGTTACTCCTCACCTCTTTGCTAGTCATGGTCCAGGTAAATGTGCTGCCTCTTATCACTATCTGTTGTAACAGTCACGTTGTCTCAAGGTCCTTGTCCACTCTTTTTCACCTTGTGAGACTACAGCTGAGGGTGTTATAGAATCATAGAACATTTTCAGCTGGAAGAGACCTTCAAGATCATCAAGTGCAACTTTTGTCCTAACCCTATCAACACCACTAAACCACGTTCCTAAGCACACATATACCCATCTCTCTTAAACTCCTCCAGGGATGATGTTACGGCGTTTCTGGAGTAATTTCTCCATTCTTTCACCTCTAAGCTCACATCATCCTTAGTTTCTACCAGAATTCTTCACCCCTATTGATGCGCTATGGTGCAGCAGTCTCACCTCCTCTCCTCACTCAGGTTCCTTGTCAGTTTTTACATCTGCTTCCTTATTCCTCTGTGTGTACAGAATGGAGAAGGTGACTATAGACCATAGAATGTCAGGGGTTGGAAGGGACTTCTAGAGATCATCTAGTCCAGCCCTCCTGACAGAGCAGGATCACCCAGAGTAGGTCACACAGGAACGTGTCCAGGAGGGTTTTGAATGTCTCCAGAGAAGGAGACTCCACAACCTCTCTGGGCAGCCTGTGCCAGGGCTACATCACCCTCACAGTAGAGAAGTTTCTCCTCATGTTGAGGTGGAGCTTCCTATAACCTAATCTAAATCCTTTATTTCTTGTTCTATTGCTGGGCACCACTGAGCAGAGATTGTCTCCTTCCTCTTGACACCCACCTCTCAGATATTCATATACGTTAATAAGATTCCCCACTGTTCGTTATTACTCAGGAGACATGACAGGAAGACAGTAGGATCAGGTTCAGAGTCCAGGAAAGAGGCAGTACTTCATAGGACGGATAGTATCTGGGTGGCACTCCCTATCTCAGCATCTTGTGGAAGCAAAAATTGTACAGATGTTCAAGCAGAGATTGGATGCATACTTGGAAGAGAGATCTAACAAAGGTCACTAACTGCATAAATATTTGGAGAAGAGGTTTAATGAAGATTAAAGACTAGAGATTAAAGAGACTAATTGCACCACACTCAGAGAACTCCTGAGCTGAAACCAGCTAAACCCTGGAAGAATTACATGCTTCAAATACATTTCTTTGTTCTTAAACTTCCCCATGCATCTCACTTAAGGCCGTTTACGAGAACAGGATGTTGGTCTAGATGCACCCTTAATCTGAACCAGTGTGGTCATTCTCACACCTTATGGTCTGTTGGTGTTAATCGCAGCCTGTCCACAAATCCTCTGTCTACTGCATGAGCCACTGAGATTTCAGACACTCTTGAAGTTCTCCTGCACAGTCTGGAAAACCATTTCTAAATATGAGTTCCCTTTGTGATAGATTTTTTAACACACGCTGGGATGAGTGGGTGGGAAAACAGAGGAAGACACTGTTTCTTTAAAGAAATCTTACATAAATATAATCATTGCAAAGATCACCTCATTCCCTTTATCATCAATTACTGAGATGTAGTTTGGCTGTGTTTCATTTGGGTATGAAAGAAGCACATCATAATGAACGAGTTCTGCTGAATCCAGTCCAAATTCCTTCCACTGGCCTTGAATTTCTTTGGCAAGAAGAAGATTCTGTTCAGTTCCTGCGAGGTGAGGCAACTTGGTAAAGGAGCTAGAATAAACCAGAAAATTGCTAGTAAGCAGCAAATACAGAGAGGCACAATAACAAACTAGGATCGGTGTATATAAAGCTTATCTTCAAGCCACATACATGAAAGTTAAGGTCTTAAAATCTGAGCTGTATAACGTGTTGTTTATCAGAGTCTGCATCAGGAAAAGCACTGAATGTAGTCAGGGCAGAGGATCTGCCCTGAGGCCTTAAGATAAATCAGCCAAACCTTTCTCTTTGCATAACAGGAATAGCCACATCTAGACAAAAATAGTGAAAATCAGTGTCAAAGACATTTATCAAAAGAATATGGACAGTATGCAAGGAGCAGAAATATATACAGAAAAGCTACACATTCAGAAAGGAGCATTCCAGATACTTCTGGTATCTGATCATGGGTTTGCAGTTTGTTGGCATAACATGTACTAATAAGTTCAACTCGAAAATCATTGTATCAATTTATCTGCATTTGTTCTTTTTATTTTCTTAATTGAGAGCCTGAATAATAAAAGCTTTCTTAACAACATTTACATTCAGATCAGATATAACACATAATGGTGACAAATAGCGACAACACCCAGCCCCTCCCGGCTACCCTACACAACTGCAGTTTGGTTTACC